AGTGATTATTGGACCTTTAAAGAGTATTCTTAGGAAGTTTCAGCTGAATCCAAGTTTGAGCGATTTTCGTCGTAGTAGCACTTTAAGAAATAATACCTTTTTAAAGCTAAAATATTAACTAATTCAATTTTTAAAGAATTAATTCTGTACATGTTTTTGCAAAAACGTGCGAGACCCCCGAAGTTGGAGTTTTTTTGCTCTCTCAGAGGTTCACTTATGTACGAATTAGTTTTTCTCGTTTTTCTCGGAAATAAAGCGATATTTCGGCAAATAAAGTATACCACGGTTTTCATTGCCTCAAGATCTTCCTAACACCAATTAAGTATGAGCCAATTCGATTTTTCGACTGTTGCCGGCGTATGTTCGATTTTTGCTGACATCCTCTCTTCAAGAATGAAGAATTGATATTTCAGTTTCTCTTGGCAGAATCATGGGAAATGCTAATCAAAATATGACGTTGAATCCTCAATTCTGATTGGTTGACCTTTAGTTTGTTCTGATAAAGGTGAATTTATTTTAGAGGTCAGCTCAGACTTCTGTCGTTGACTAGATATATCAATGTCAAAGCGGCTTGTGTTTTTTTTTAAGTATTGAAATATAGTTATTATACAGATAACCAGCTATGATGTCAAAAAGATTTATCAATAATGCCTCAAAAGCTGTTAGGCTATCTGGCTAGATTAACGAAAGTTATTTAAGATAGCATGTACCACATTGTCCTGAAAGAATCTAATGGTTTTTTGTTTGTCATACAAATGTGTATATTCATATAGCTGTATACATGTAGTATATTCATATGCTTATTTATAGTTTATGTATACTTTGTAAATTTCATTTATTATTTGTTTGATACACGTGCATGAAGATCATGACAGTGTAAATGATACAAATCAATAAAAAAATAATACAATCTAAAATCAATTCGAACACATGTTACTAATATAGATTACTGCTGATTAGGAGTTTGACCAAATACTGGACTGTTTTGGTGCTACATTTATAAACCTTTATGATCATGTTGGACCACTGGGGGGGGGGGGGGGGGGGGGGGTGGGGATTTCCATATAACAAAGGCCGGTATTATCGTCGTTTCTTTTAGGAGCTGCTGGTCTCTCCCATTTTTCGGGGTGAAAAAGTCAAAGTTGTTGGTTTAAGCACATGCGGGCGATATGTTTTACGGGTACGCGATTGGTGGCCACAAACATTAAAGTGGATATCAGTCAAAACTATATTATCATTGGCCTAAGTGTCGATAACGTAACTGACACTTCCTTTGTATTTATCATCATGTTATCATCTGCCATACTTTAATTTATTCAAATTGGTGTATTTTTGAGCTAAAATTAAACCAGGACCACTTTAAAAATAAATGTTAAGAAACTATTTGATTTAAATAATATATACGTGGATGATACTTACGTAAGAAGAATCAATGGAAAGAAAAGATACTCTAGGGAATGGCACATGGTCTTGAGAATAGAATTAATTATTTGAGTTGTATCCATATTCATGTCCTTTCTAATGCGCAGCCGTCAAACAAAGAAATAATACTCTGGGGAATGACACATAATGTCTGTAATGGGTAAACATTACACCCTAGCTAAACAAAGAAGTCATACTCTAGGGAGTGACACATGCTCTGTAATGGGTAAACATTACACCCAAGCTAAACAAAGAAATAATACTCTAGGGAGTGACACATGGTCTGTAATAGGTAAACATTACACCCAAGCTAAACAAAGAAATAATACTCTAGGGAGTGACACATGGTCTGTAATGGGGCAACATTACACCACAACGAATTGGTTTTATTCCATTACAGAAAACCAGTTCAACTAAATTGCGATTCCAATATTCATTCAATGACATTTCAGCTGCATCAAGTCTGTTTTCTTAACGTGTAATTAGTATAGGAAATAGCAACGTTCGAGAACAATTAATGAAAAATACTACGCGTATTTGATGAGAGTGGCTTAATACCACATTGTGCATAGCATAAATAGATCATTGCACAGGTTCAGTAAGAGAAAATTGAATGCCGATCGACCAATCATAAACAAGAATTTTTGTAGATGTGTCATCAAATTGGTTTACAATTCAAAGACCGTCAGCATGGTATTCAATTTCGTATTCAATAAACGATGCGCACATGGGACTAATAACTGCCGCAGATGGTTATTAATGTTTGGAACCTGCATATAAAGCAACTTTTTTTTCAAGCTACCATTGTTTAGCACAAAAAGACAAGAAAGAAGGAAAACACACAATCCCTCATTCCTCCGGCTGTAAACCAAGTAACAAGCGACTGCATTAGCTATGAATCGAACCACAGAATGTACATCACATTGTACGCCAAAAATCGCAAGTTTGATGTTGATCGTGATCACCAACTTTGTCTTAGCTGTACCAACAGCTGCTGCTAATGCTCTGGTTATCGTGGCCATTCTGACGACGTCTTCTTTACGAACACCGTCGTATCTTTTACTGACCAACCTCGCCTTCAGTGATCTTGGAGTGGGACTATTTTGTCAACCAGGTTTTGCTGTAATAATGATCATGAATCTCTTTGAAGACGTTGAATTTAATCGCAGCTTCTTCTTATCAGTAATTATTGTTTCAACTCTTTTGAGCTGTGTATCAGTGTTGACCATAACAGCCATCAGTGTGGACAGGTACCTGGCCATACGACTCAAGATGCGGTACAGATCTGTCGTCACACTACGAAGAGTGAGGT